TCTTGTGGTGTTCTGTTCGAATGACCCGTCGTTCATCGAGACTAAAGTGCGTGAGTGTTACCTGGACTTTCTAGCAGAGTAGTGTTGCTCTGGTGTCTAGTAGTGTTTGTGACTGCTGACTGACAGTGAATTTTCCGTGGAGTTGAAGAATGTGTTGTACTCTCCAAACTTAGGGTATAATCTCTTTTCTCCGATTGCAGAGTTTGATGGCGAGTCATGGAATGGTCTTGGTGGTCCTGATGGTGTGATGACTGCTTTCAATGGACAAGTAACCTTTCAAAACTTCGATGGCATGCTGATTGCGTCTGCGTATCGTCTAGGAGAAGCCTCTGTTGGCACGGTGTTGGCTGCTCTCACTCCCGCAAACCCCAAGCATGAAACCACGATGGATATCAACGAGTTCCACAACATTTACGCTCATTCGCACGAGGGTTTGCTTCGCACTACTGCAAAGCGACTAGGTACCAAGTTGGTTGGTGACATGCATGCTTGTTCAGGGTGTTCGATGTCAAAGGCTATTCGAAAAGGAATCGTTAGAGAAACTAAACGTAGATCGGATAAAAAGTTGGGCAGAGTTTTGTTGACCTGGGAGGAAGGAAGGACATTGCGTTCGTTGGGGGTAAATATTATCCCATGATTGTGAAGGATGATTTCACGAGACGTACATGGATGTATTTCCTGAGAAATAAATCAGACGCTGGCAGTGCATTCCGGACTTTTCTTGCGAGTGTGCGTGCTAATGGTGTCCCGTCATTCGTTGAGATTGTTAGATCTGACAACGGAGGGGAGTTTTTCGGGGGGGAGTTTGCATCTGTGTGCAATGAGCTCTTGATCAAACAAGAGTTCACACCGGCTTATAGTCCGCAATATAATGGTGTTGCAGAGCGTGGGCTGGGATTGATAGAAGAGGCCGCGATGGCGGCTCGTATTCAGGCTAAAGTTCTTTTTGGGCATGTGCAGTTACCTAAGACTGATAAACTCTGGGCTGAGGCTATGCACTGGGCTTGCGAAGCGATTCATCACACCGCGTGTTCTGCTAACCCCGACTCTATGTCGCCGTATGAAATGTGGTATGGTGAACCTCGTCCCGCTAGACCGTATCCGTTTTTGAAGCCAGCGTACTGCAGGTGGCAGCGACCGACAAAGCTGCTGCCGAAGGGTGAGAGTTGCTTTTATGTCGGTCCTTCGAGAGACCACCCGCGTGATTGTCATAGAGTACTTACGAGGGCTGGGACTATACAGGAAACGAGGGATGTGACGTGGGAGGTGTTGCAGTCACAGCTCCCTCCGCTGCAACCTTCTCTGCCAATAGAGCTCGCAGAAGAGGGAGGGGAGGATAGTGACGACAATGTTGAAACCGAGGTATGGCCGCTTGTAGGAAGAGGAGTTGCTCACACACTTTTGAAACGTGATGCAGTGCCTTCTGGTGCGAGAGTCGAGGAGGTTGAGAGTGTTGGCGCAGGAAGTGTAGGCCCATCATTTTCTGTTCCATCTTCCCCTGCTGAACCGTCGTCCCTCGCGAACAATTCTTTTGATAGTGTAGCCTCTGTGTCTTCTCCAATGCCTGTGAATGACGGGGAAGGCCAGGGAGGGCAGGAATCAGGGAAATTAGAGATAGGGGATCCGGGAGGGGATGATGAGGAAGAATCGATGGAACAGGGAGGGCATGATGATGAAGAGTCGATTAGGTCGGGAGGACCGGTAGAGGCGGAGGCACCCCCTCCAGCCGCTCGTCGTCCGCGGCATGTGGCCGAGCTTGCTGACTTTAATACTGCTTCGCGTGAGAACGATGAAGTGAAAGAAGGTAGGACTCGCGCGCAAACTCGTGCAGTCAACCAGCAGAGTNTTAATACTGCTTCGCGTGAGAATGATGAAGTGAGAGAAGGTAGGACTCGCGCGCAAACTCGTGCAGTCAACCAGCAGAGTGTTCCGGGCCTTGTGGCCAGCCTAGGACCCATCTCCGCTACGGAGTTAGTGTATACACTGATGTCGGAGCAGAGAGCAGGTGATGAGACGGAATTGCCGAAAGAACTGGTTCAGGATGTTGAGTCAGTACCTGATAGTTATCAGGAAGCCCAGCGTTCAAAGTACGCAAAGATTTGGGAGGGAGTCATGTCTGCTGAGGTTGAAGGCTTGATAAGAGCAGGAACGTTCACGTTAGCAGCAAAAGTCCCGATAGGCTGTAATGTGATAGATGCTAGATGGGTTTTCAAATGGAAAGCAGACGAAACAGGAAAGATAGTGAAGGCCAAGGCTAGGCTTGTAGCGAAGGGCTTCAAGCAGAAGTATGGTGTGGACTATCTTGAGACTTTCTCGCCTACCGCAAATGCTGCATCTCATAGATTGGTAGTGGCGTTGGCGTGCAAGTACAACTTGGAATTACTCCACTGGGATATTGAACAAGCATTTGTTCAGTCGGAATTGGATTACGAGGTGTTCATGAAGTTGCCTCCTGGCTGTGGTTCGATGTCAGGAAAGGTTGTCCGTTTGAACAAGAGTTTGTACGGATTGAAGCAGGCATCTAGAACATTTTACAAGAGGCTGGTGTCGGAGCTGAAGAGGATTGGTTTCGAGCAGTCTATGTCTGACCCCTGTGTCCTGCGTTTCATGATGGGAGACGAGGTAGTGGGGATGGTCGCAATTCATGTGGATGACTTTCTGTATGCAGGAACGAAGAGTCTGGCTGAGTTGGTAGTGGCAGCACTAGGTGACTCTCTTCCCACGAAGAATTTGGGCGAGGTCAGGTTCTTTCTTGGTTGCGCATTCGTTCGCGACCGCGAGGCTGGTACGATTGAGATGTCTCAAGAGAGTTACATCAGGAGTGTTCTTGAGAGATTCAATGTTTGTCGCACCAGCTCGATCCCTGCTTCCCCTACTAACGATTACAGGTCCGTGATGGAGGATGAGGGGGCAGGAGATGTGCCGTTCCGAGAGGTGGTGGGGAGCCTGATGTGGATCGCCAACCAGACGAGGCCCGACATCTCGAATGCTGTGCGGGCGGTGGCAAGGCACTCTCACGAGCCAAAGAAAAGTCACTGGAAGGCTGCTCAGAAGATTCTAAATTATCTTCTGGAAACGGCACATCTAACTCTAAAATTCAAACCGGATAATTCAGTAGACGCAAGCACATTAGTGTACGTAGATGCTGATTTTGCGAGCAAGGCCAACGACCGTAGATCAGTTTCGGGAGCAATAGTGCTTGTGGCTTCGACGCCTGTGGTTTGGATTTCTAAAACGCAGAAATGCATTTCACAGTCGACTTCTGAGGCAAAGTATCTTGCGATGGGTGACGGTGTAAAGGAGGCTCTGTTTGTGAATGGAATGCTTCAGTTCCCGAGACCTAGTGCGAAGCCTCGGAAGATATACAGACGTCCTCGAGGACAACGAAGGAGCGGTTGCGCTCGCAGAGAATCCGCTTAGCTCGAGTAGGAGTAAGCACATTGATGTGAGGCATCACTTCCTTAGGAATTTGACAGAGGAGGGTGTTATCGAGGTCACGCATGTCCCAAGCGAGGAGCAGCATGCTGACATCCTCACGAAGGCTTTGCCGAGAGACCTTTTTGAAGTTCACCGCGACTTTGTATTAGGCTCAAGGAAGTAGAAGTCTTTTTTTTTTTTTTTGCTTTCATACATGCGAAGTAAATGTATTTGGTCTGGTAGATGCAAAAGCCCCCTAGGGAGGGTGTTCGCCTGAGCTGCGGTAGAACATCTGATTGGATATTTTTAATTACAGAACTGTCGATCGTAGGTTGTCATGCCGAGTGTTCTGCGAATACTCTTTGTGGTAGTTCGGTAGATTGTACACACGTAAGGATCGTACAACGGACCGTAGGTGTAAGTCGGTACGTTGGTATGTGGTACGTTGGACACTTGTCCAGTAGGAACGTTCTAGCATTGTCGCT